CCGGCGCGACCCCCGACCCCGCCCTCCGGCGCGACCCCCGACCGCTCTCCGCCGTGAACCCTGACCCCGCCCTCCGCCGTGAACCCTGACCCCGCCCTCCGCCGCGACCCCCGACCGCGCTCTCCGCCGTGAACCCAGACTCCGCCTTCCTCCGCGACCGCCGACCCCCTTCTGCGCCGTGAACGCTAACCCCGCCCTCCTCCGCGACCCCCGACCGCGCTCTCCGCCTTGAACCCTGACTCCGCCCTCCTCCGCGACCCCCGACCCCGCTCTGCGCCGTGAACACTAACCCCGCCCTTCTCCGCGACCCCCGACCGCGCTCTCCGCCGTGAAGCCTGACTCTGCTCTCTGCGACCCCCGACCCTGCCCTCCTCGGTGATCTCCGACCCCCCTCTCCGCCGCGACCCCTGACCTGCCCTTCTCGGTGACCCTCCACCCCGCTCATCGGTGATTCCCTGACACCTCCCTTCTTGGTGACTTCTATCCCACGCTCCTTGGTGACCCCCGAACTTTACTTCTTTGGTGATCCTTGACCCCGCACTTCTCGGTGACCCTCCAGCACCTTGTGACCCCCTGGAACCTACTCCTCCGTGATTCCCTGACTCGTCCCTTCTTGTGATCCTCAACACCCTGCCCGTCGCTGACCCCAGCTCCTCCCTTTCTGGGGGGCCCCTCCTCTCCCCCCATCTTGGTGACCCCTGACCCCAGGCTCCCTGGGGATTCCTGTCCCATCCTCCTTAGTGTCCCCTTTCCCAGGACCCGTCCTTTCCTGGCTCCTCGGCCCCTGCAGCATGGCAAGAGGGGCAGACACTCCTGTTCCCTGCCCTCGGGTTGGGTCACTCGGCTTTGGGGTGGGGGCCTTGCTGGTGTCAGCTGACTGGGGGGGACGGCAGAGCTTGTTGGGGTGGGAGTGTCCCCTGGAGCTGGCACTGGGACCACCGAAGGACGGGCTGGGGGCAGTGGTGGGCAGAGACTCCCCTGCCAGAGGTGCAGGAGGATCAGCCTGCGTGGGTGGAGGGGAAGGGAGGCGCCCAGGAGGGTCCCGGCGCCCAGGAGGGTCCTGCCACCCGGTGCTTCTCCCCAGAGCCCCTAGAGGGACTGGCCAGGACCGGAACTGGCTGGGTGGGGGCGCGGGGGCGCCAGGGAGGCCATGGGGTGTCTCCCTGCAAAACGCTCTCGACGTTCTGAGAAGGGAGAAGCATGGAGTCTGTGCGGGGCGTCTGGGGCACCCCCCGGCTCCTGCTTCCCGGAACAGCATGTGCGTTGGTCCCGCCCGCCCTGAATGTCCGTCCTCCCTGCTGTCCATGGCCCGTCGGGCCAGTCGTGCCGTCTGTTTGCACCCGTCCAGGAGGGGGCCCGGCCTGGAAGCCGGCCTTCGATGGAGCGTGCTGGCAGGCTAGGGGGTGGTGAGTGTTTCACCGCGGGGCTGGGGAACTGGTGTTGGACTGGACACCCCCGGGGGACCTGCTGCCAGGTGAAGTGATCAAGCCCGGAGCTGGCACCCTGGGGCTATCTCCGTAGGCGCTTCTGAAAAGTTCAAGGAAATGGGGCCTGGGCCTGGGGGACGCACGTCCCGGAGAGAAGAAAGGCATCTGTCACAGGCAGGAAACTCGAGAGAGGGTCGGAGGGCGGCCTCAGTCAGTAGATGGGAGGCCCGGCAGTCCTGCAGGCACAGGACGTGCCCGTGCACTCTGCTTTTCCCTGCCCTGGATTCCGCTTCTCCGGCTGCGGGGCGCTGTGCTGTCAGGACCCTGTGAGCAGGGGAGTGTCCGAGCCCCGTCTTTGAGGCTGAGACCTGGGGCCCATCTGCCACCGGTCTGCATCCTTTCTTCCCAGCTCTCTGGATTTTCCCAGGGGAGGCCCCAGGGGTGGGTGATGGCTGCCCAGGGCTGTCTGTTCGGTCCCCGTCATGCAGTCCTCTCCAGAGTCCTCGTGAAGAATGCTGAATGTGCACTTGTGCTGCTGGCTGGGTGGGCCGGGGAACGGTGCGTGGGCAGGTGGCCCCAGGGCCCCCCGATGGTGGGGGAAGTGCAGGCAGGCACCCACCAGACCCTGGGGGAGCCCGGCAGGTGCATGACCCCGGCCTGGGGACAACCCAGTGCAGGGACCTGGGGACAGGCGCCTTTGTTTAACTCTGAGCTTCTGACGTGTGCTCACACCTGCCTGGAGCCAGGACCTGCCCTGCCCGGGTGTGTGTCGGGGGGAGACTCGGTGCTTTGGCAGAGGGTGGGGGAGCCCGGGGCCCAGACGAGGGCCAGGTTTCCAGGGGAGCCCGTGGGGGCAGCACAGAAGAGGCGGTTGGCTTTGAAGTCGGGGTGGGCGGGGCCGCAGGTGTGCAGGTGGGCCGTCCAGGGCCACTGGGTGACCTTGGGCCAGTCACCGTCCCCCCGGGGGGGCGGGTGGAACCGAGGCCAGACCTCCACAGCCCACAGGCCTGGCCCCCACTGGGGCATGACCAGCCTGGGCTGGCCCAGCTGGGGTCCAGCAGAGTCTCAGACGCGCATCCAGCGGGGGCCGGGCCGGAAACGCTGACCCAGCACGGGGCTCTGGCGGGTGAGTGAGCTGGGCTGGGAATAAAGAGGCGACTGTGTCCAGTCCCAGAGGCCGCCTCCCCCCTCCTGGGGCGGCCTCCCTGCTGCAGCCGGCACAGCCTGCGGGGGTGGGGAGCTGCCGCTCTCGTGTGGGGGGGCTGGTGGTGGGGAGCCAGCCCCCCGTGGCGCCAGCACAGTCCCAGGGTGTGCGTGTGTCCGTGTGCAGGCGTGACTGTGTACGTGTGCCAGTGCATGTTTCGTGCGTGCAGCAGATGCGCATACATATGTCATGTGTGTGCTTGTGTCGCGTGTACCTATGATTCGCCGTGGGCAGACTTGGAGCGTCTCCAGCCACTTTCCGCAGCCGAGGGCTATGTGGTCAGACGCTGGGCCGGGCAGGCTGCAGGGTGTAGCCGAGAGCACGGTCACCCACACCCGTTCCAGGCCTGCCTGCCCCCTGCTCGCCCGCCACCTCGCCCAGTCTGCCCACGCTTGTCCATGGGGCGCCCGGCAAGTGCAGTCCCCTCTCCCCTGAGTGGAGCCCCAGTCCCTGTTCCTGGGAACTACCACACCCCCTACCCCCCAGCTGCTGGCAGGCCAGTCCCACGTGAGCGACCTGAGCGGGGCTGGGGCGGAAAGCCCGCTTCCTTCATCTGCCGATGATGGTGACAGCCCGCTCCCCTACTGGGAGGTGTGGCTGCCCTGCCCTCGCCCTGCCCTCCGGCGGGTGGCTCAGGTGAGGGCAGGACCCCCGCCTAGGATGCTGGCTCCTTCACCTGCTGCACTGGGCTTGCCGGGCCCCTGGGGAGGCAGAACAAGACCTGCCGCTTGTTTATATCCCACACCGTGAGGGACTTGAACACACGATGCTCAGTGAGAACCAGACACAGAAGGACACACAGTGTGTGAGTCCATTGATGTGAAATGTCCAGAACAGGCACATCCACAGACAGAACGTGGGTTCGTGGTTGTCAGGGGCTGGGGAGGGGCTGGGGGTGACTGCTGATGGGGACAGGGCTTCCTTTAGGGCTGATGGAATGTTCTGGAACTAGATAGAGATGATGGTTTGCACAACCATCACTAAATGGACTAAAACCCACTGCGTTGTACACTGTAGTGGGTGAGGTATATGGTGTGTGAATTGTGTTGCCATAAAACAAAGAAGTGTTAGAAACCCAGAAAGCAGGGCCAGTCCTTGCCCCTCAGCTGCCCGTGTGCCGTGGCCTGGAGTTGAGTGGGCATCTGGGGGTGGCCCCCAGCATGGCCCCGCTGCCAGCTCACGCGTGGGCGCTGGGTGGTTTTGAGGCATCTTCTCCCGGCCCCACAAGGAGGGCAGAGGGGGCACCGTCTCTGAAGTTTATGGGGGGTAAACGAGGCTCTCCTGGGAGCCCCCCACCAGGCCCCCGCTCTGTCCCCAACAGCTGCCGTGGGCAGACGGGAAGCATGTCCTGCAGGACGTGGTCTGGGGGTCTGGACTTCCGGTGCGGGGTGCTCAGCTGTGTGCGGGGTGGAGAGTGGGCAGCCCTGGGGGCCCGGCCTACAGGAGGTGGCGGCTGGGGCCAGCGCTGCCCTGGCCCTCCGGTACATTCCCCTGACTGGCTGGGCCCCCCACGAGGCCAGGTGACAGCGGGGAGGGGAGTGATCCTCTTGAGTGCGGGCCGAGCCGCACCCGCCAGTTCACTCACTGACAGTGACCCTCCCAAGTCAGCCGTGCCCTCCTGCCGTTGTCCACGGCACGGCCGCGGGGAGCCTGCCCACTAGGGGAAGGCGTTGATTTGGCCTCTGCCCAGGTTCCCGCACCCAGAACCCTACAGCGGGAATCACCGCCCGCAGAGGGGAGGGCCCCGGCCGGGCACCCCGGGCACGCGCTGCCCGAGTTTCCAGCGCCTTCCGGAATGTGCTCGCGGCTGCCGACCTCTGGCGCCACCGTGCCCGCCAGTCCATCCGTCTGTCTGTCCGCCCATCTGTCCATCCGGTTGTTCAGAGAGGGCGCCGGCTTTCCCGTCGGGACTGGCCTCTTAGGAGTAAAGCCCCTCGTTCCCAGGCCGCTGCGTTTCAAAAGCACGGGCGCCACATTCCCGAGGACGCATCACCCGCTGTTCCCGGGGAGTCCGCTGCCCGGGGCTCAGAGGCCCTCAACACCGGAAGCTGGGACAGGGCGGGAGGGGTTGGGGGGTCTGTGGCCGGCAGTGAACTCTCATGGCCCCGGCTCATCAAGGGGGTAG